CAAAACTTTTGTTATGTTCAGATTCAGTAGCTCGGTGTTTTCGCGACTGTCTTGCACAACCTCCATCTTGATATCTTACCCAATCGACTTTGTTTAATTTTAATTTACACAACCAAATAATATTAACATTACGATTTATTTCATACTGACTTTAGGCATTCTATACATTGCCGGTAACATATATACCACGTTCCGGGATCTGAGTCTACTGTCATGTCCAAGTGGCACATATGCTATTAGGCGTACTTTTAAAACAGATACTAGTGGCGACAGCTGAAATCGAACCAGGGATCAGTATACAATGGGGGTAGGGCAGAAAATAATTATTTTCTATCTCACAATAATTTTTCCTGTTGTTTCGTATGGGTGCGAAACATGGTCTCTCACTCAGAGGGAGGAACATAGATTGCAGGTGTTTGAGAATAGGGTGTTGAGGAGGATATTTGGGCCTAGGAGAGAAGACGATGGGGTCTGTAGAAAACTGCATAATGATGAGCTTAAAAATCTGTACTCCTCCCCCAGTATTGTCAGGGTGATTAAGTCGAGAAGAATGAGATGGGCGGGGCATGTCTTATACGTAACTTAAATGTAATGTCGTTTATTAATTTTGAAAAAATCTCAATCGATGGTACCTGTAATTTTCCAGGAGTCTTTTACACAGCGCACGTAAATAATAACAGTTACTCAAGCAGATCGTTTTAACCCCATTATAAATACAAGTTACAATGCGGTTTGTCTAACTGAAGCCTGCACAACTTGAAAGTGCATGTAGCCCAAAATGTAAACTATACAATTGCTTCGGGCCACAGTCTCGTATTTCATGTGTTATAATTACATTAATTAAATGTATGTGGACGTCATGCATTGTGTAAATAAATACATCAATGTTATATTAATTATTGCATTAATCAAATTAAATACCGGTGCATTATTTTATTATTTAAATTTACAAGTGCGCGAATTCAGTAACTAACAAGTTATTATTAAATTTTTTGATTATTAGACAGTACAAACTTTTACGCAAGGTCTCGTAACTTTCAAGAATGTACGTAAAAAAATAAATAAAATAAGAAAGTAAGTTTTTATTATCCTAGATCATCTTTAAAAATTGATTTTTCAGGGGTTCGGGTGTGGTTGAGCCGATCGCCCTTCGGCCAGAGACAATTTTTTCGGGGATGCATGTCGTGCAGGCCTGGTGTAAGCAGTACTTCATGTCGACTCCAGGTTCTTGTTAATAAAAACATTTACAACTTTAGGGAAAAGCACAATTAGGAATGATATTGATTGTCCTATCATTCAAAATTAACCACCTGGAACGTAAAAGTGATGGTTAATAAAAGTACCAGACACAAGAAGTAACATATCAACCCATAAAAATGTTTATAATTTCATGTAACAAAGAAATTATTTCATTTATAACTAAACAGTAACATTTATATTATACAATTTATCTATGAAACTGGTTCTTCAGTTTTCTAGCACAGCTGTGCAACTTCCTTCAACAAAGAGGCCTAAGACCTATGTATAAAGAAATAGTTTCTATTTATCAGTGAAGTACTTGATTTAACAAATATACTCTTGATTTTTCATAACCATTAAGTAAATACATACATTCTGAATGCAGTCAGAGCTTCGAGCTGTTTGCTCAGTTGCCGAGGCGAGCAAATTCTATCGTGAAATTTTCGTTCGGGCATCTTTCTGATAATAGTTTTCTATATATTTTCTGTCTACTTATCGTGACTGAATACACACATTCAATGAAACAGAATATACAAAAAGAAACTACCAATTCTATTGAACAAAGATGCTTTTATTATTCTGTGCAATCACCACCACCATCGCTATCAACGACGTTCGCCGAAATCCAACACACGAAACACAGAAAACAGGTATTACATTGTATATACATACATACAAACATACATACACAGAGTATATTAAAGAGCACACGTATTACCAAAATAATTCAACTTTGCTTCACAGTACAGTTCATAATAGACATGAGTAGCATACAGGAAGACATGAGTGCCTGATGGTCAGCTTTGACCCTTTTTGTTTGGAATGTTATAATTATAGACAGTCAAATTGCTTACAGAAGGAATAAAGAATGCCAATTGTTAAAATCTATTTCACAGAGCCATGCAAACTGCGACACCTCACGCATGTGTTATTAGGAACAGTATTATAGGTGGAAATTAATTGAAAATATCATAAATTATGAATAGTGAACGAACTCCATGGAAATTGGACATGTGTGGTAATACAGGGAGTCTTATTTTGTGAGTCGAATAAGTCGCTCGCTCGCCCCATTGTGTCGGGCCGCCGGCCCGCAAAGCGAAATGTTCGTTCACGGCTGCATTATCTAGAGAACTCTCTGTATCTGTTGTGACAACGGAATCTGGAACTAGTTTTTTGGTCTAAATGTTAAAGAGACTGGTCTAAAAACATTTCAGTAACATTAGCCTATTTTCGTATTAGTATTATAACATCCAATGGACGTAACGGAATATCCCACGACAATAATTTTCTTGGTCAATCTCTATACTAAAATGTTCTAAGCAAAGAACATGACGTCAACTGTTCCAACCACAAATCATACCCATTAGTTTCTAACCACATAAAACGAAATTTAATATCCGAGATTCGAGTGTAACGAAGAGTGGAGGAGGTCCTAAAGTGTGACACTAAAGCGGACAAAGAAATGCAAAGTCGTGTTCAAGTAACTCTATTACAAGTAGAAGCAAAACCACTGAAACTGATCTTCGTTGCCAAGTGGAGAAGTTAAATTGCAGCTTGCTAGATAAAAAAAAATCCGCATACAACGACTTGCAACTACAATTATCGAAGGGGAAGGTCACACAAGCGCTACGTACGTGGACATGAAAGACGACGTCAATCAGGACCATAAAGTATGTACAGCGCTCACACATCACATCATATCTGAACACAGAAGAAAACATATCGTTTATCAGCGCGTACTACGCCTACAACTTCATTCAGTATAATGCATATACATAATTATCCACAAAGAACATATCTCCAGAGTTTACCTACACAACTGCTGAAACATCATGGACAGATACCGCAGAGAAGTAGCAAGTAGGGCCCACGGATGACCAGCCAGCCAGTGGCATTGGCTGTCCCTAGGACCCACGGCTGCATCAGCCAGTAGCGCTGTCTCTCCCTAGGTCCCGTTATAAAGTCAGCAGCGTGGCTTGTCCGAAGAACCAACAGTGAATTACTCAGTAACATTGATTAATCCTAGGACCAAGAGTGAATCAGTATCATCGTCTGTCCCTAGAACTTACAGTGAATTAGTCAGTAACGCTGTCTATCCGTAGGACCACCAGTGAATAAGAGAGTTGTATTGTCTCTTCCTGAGACCAACTCCAGATTAGTCACTTACATATCCTGTACCTAAGGACTGTAACTCCAATAACGAAACAAGAGAGCAATGATACGACAGGCAATCTACAGCGGAATCGGCCGCTATAATATTCAGCACAAAGACAATGAAAGGATCAGGCGTACGTTGAGAAAACTGTACTGCATGAAAAACACAAAGTCAGCTCAAAATTGAAGTGTAAAATAAATTTAAGGGAGGCTGGAAGGAGAAAGAGACGTACACCCTTAAAAGGAAGCACAACCTGCCTCAATAATAGATAGAAACCTCATTAAACAGAAACGTTGATAGGTGCTTCGCAGGAAATATTTCCGTCGTGTTAAAAATTGTATTAGAAGAACAAGGTGGAATATAATTATACAACAGCGCCAAGAACCCTCAAAGCGAGGTTAGAACTATTAGTCATGACGCAATGCTTAGAACAGTCTGCGGGCCAAAGCCAGAACTATAATTTACATACAATGTAATAAAATGTTGTGAAATGGAGAAGAAAGATGGTGTTGAAATAGGCCTACATTTAAACAGCGCGGACGTGTGGAAACATTATTTGCAAGATACGGAGTAAGGCATAATGGCGAAAGCGAAGGATAGTTAAATAAAAAGTCGTAATGAAGGTAAAATGTTACACGAAAATCAACATATAACTGATGATATGGATAAACACATTGACGAAAGTTTTACGAATGCTAGAGAACCATAAAGAAATGCCAACATTATGGAAGCTGCAGACGTTTCGTAAAAATTTAGTTAACTTTGCCGGTAATGGGAAGCTTTGATGAAACATGTGACATCTGTGGGCTTTAGAATTAATAAATGCAAGGACAAGTAATACCGACTGAGAGTCCATAGTGCCAACAAGAGCGCCTCACTGTAATGTTATGAGGAAATTGGCGCTGGGGACACGAAGAATGTGGTTTTTTATGAAATATTTTACCCATTTATATTACACAGTCCAAGAATGCCAGCAAATGAGAAGAAACAAAAGAAATACATCAACCGCTACGCCGACAGCGGCTTATAGGAGTTATGGCTGGAGGAGAGATATAATCAATTCTCCGTGCGTAACTAACACGCGACGCAATGGCAGAGTCATATAATTACACACTGAAGTGGACAGCGAAGATTTCACAAAATTTATCTAACACCGGGACTGCCAATAAACAATTCGTGTTGACATCATGAGAACAACAAAGCACCCTCATTAAGTTTGTTGAAGTGCGATACATAGTTAATACAGCATAGAATATGATTCAGATATTAGAAAGTCAGACCATCTCGTACGACAGAATTTTGTTTTAGAAGAGGTGATGAGGGAAGATTCAGAACAGAATACAATAACTGGCGCAAAGTGGAAAAAGACAATTGTGACGTCATCACGTGGTAGGAGAACCATTTAAAGAAACAAAATATTTCTTCATAAAGGAGTGATGTAACAGACGCAGATATGATACAGCAAAATAAAACAATTCCTATGCATGTACGAATAATTAAAACTTCATAAAACTTCAGAATATATAAATCATTTTCACAGAAACGAAAAAAAATATTAAATTCACAGTTGACAGCTGCAAGTATGAGAACTATAGCTATCTACCGTCCATAGAATACATGTATTTATTATATATAATTATTAGATGGAACTACAACACATAATCGAAAACGACTCACTCATGAAAACATTGCAGCCATCCCTGATGAGAAAGAGAATAATAAACCCGAACAGGGATTCATGTACATCTTCGTTGAATACAGAAAGAGAAGGAACAAGACAGTAACAGCAAAGAAACCATGGACACATTAGGAAAGACAATAAACAAGAAAATACTGCTATAAATAAAATGGCCCATGAGACACCAACACGACAGAATGAAATACGAACACTTCTGGGACAAAGAACCGCAAATAAATCTCAAAGGAGACTTGGAAGAATATTTGACGAAAGAAATCAAAGTTCAAGATACAACAGATTGAAAGAAATTGGAATTATAGTGTATTTGATAAATGGGCTCTCCAAAAACGGTAAGATTCTTTAGACCAATAACAATATTGCACGTGGGCTACAACTTACTACGATCACGAGCTGAACTTGGCACACCTTCAGGGGTTCATGGACCCAGCAAAGTGCAACACCTCGTCAGGGGATATTTCTAGTACAATCCCAGATGAGATCGCTCACAGAGAACTGAAAGGGACGGCCGTATAATGTAATTGGTCTTGAAATAGTCTTTTTATAAAATATAAGACAACAATTTGTAATTTATTTTGGATTGCTATGGATTTGACATGAAAGTCATGAACATGATCAAAATAATATATGGAGAAGCACAACAGTGTACATGAATGGGTTTATATCCTCCATCCCCTCTGTACATTAAGTCAGTCAGTCCGTCACTATCAACAGATCTTCTATGGTCGACAAAACTACAGTGAAACCATTCACACACCGCACTGAAAATTATGTACTGCAGCATATTCAGCCGATGTTACTGTAAAAGATGGCTGTCTTCTGGGTTGTTTAGCCTTGTAGTCTGGTAGAAGTTTATCGGCGTTTCAGAGGTCCTTGCTGCCTCCATCATCAGGACAATTAGTAAGGAAGCCGCTCGCGAGATATCGGTTTGGGACATCGGAAACTCGCGCGCGTGTTATTGATAGCCCTGAAGATGGAGGTGGCAGCAATAACCTCCAAACATCAGTACACGTTTACCAGACTACATGGTGTAACAACCCAGAAGAAGCCATCTTTGTATTATCCGCCTTGAAAACCTGAAATATCATGATGTTCAAGATCTTTCTTGAAAACATAACAGGGCTATTCCATGCCAAATCAAACTGTGCTGTCAACCACGTACACACTAATTTCTATATTTTTTTATTTTACAAATTAATATCCACGAAGTGCAAGCTTCTACCAAAGTTTAAGTTTTACATTGAGACTAAATTCTAAGATGTTAATTAATGCAATTAGACAGTTTTCGTAACGCGGAAGCCATTTTCTCCAAAAATATCTAAATATCTCCATTATCGAAAAAGTCATAAATACAAAATTCGGTGTTCAGAAATAGTTTTCCTCAAGGAATCGGTTGATACGGAATTTATGTACATAACTGCAATAATTTGGGTGTTACCTTCATTGAACCACCCTTGTTTAAAACAATAAGAAAAACAATGTGGGATTATATTTAGAAAGCTGAAACATCTACGCAGTACAAACAAAGGACTACACTACGACATAATTTAAAACGGGCTGTTTTTACTAGCGCGATAAAATATTAATTTTTAAATTTGTAAGCAAGAAATATATCCTCGTAAAAAGACAACAGAAATGAAACACGCTTCAAACCGTATAAACACAATGATTAAATCACTTTCAATTAAAAACCAATATACATATATTTCAAGAAACTCTTATTTTTATAGTGTGCTGAACATCAGTTTTCTTGTGACACTTTTTGGTACACACAGGTCCATCTACCAACTAAGAGATATATCGTTGATAGACACAAACTTATGGTGGCTTTGTACCAGGGACAGTTTTAGCATGCTGTAGTCTGTCAGCCTTAGAACATCGCTTTGATTTCTTTCTGTTATGTGAAAGAACGTAACCTGTAATATTTCTTTGGCCCATTTGCTGTATGCTGAAGACAGTTAATGATTACACAGAAACTCTTCTCTCTCTCTACTTTAGGCTTCTGGTAAGCGATAATAAACTGCAAAAGGGGTGGAGAGTTGCCTGATCACTTTCCGAGTGGAGTCCTTGAACGGAACCTTGCCAGTAAAATGATAAAATCGGACATTGCTTCTTTTTTCTTAAAAAAAAGGCTAGCATAAAGGTCATAACTCAAAAACTATTCCAGATAAACACAAAAATACTTAGCTACAATAGATTCCTTGAGACAAACCACTACTGCTGCGCACCAAATTTAGTATTTTTTATTTTTTTTAAATAAGGGAGACATTTGTGAAGAAATGGCTTTCTGTACCCTAACAACTGCCTAATTTTATAAATTAATATCTAGAGATTTATTAACAATAACAATTTCAAACTTTGAAATATCAAACTTGGGAATTAAATATCAGGTTAACAATTACATTTTGGTGGGTTTTTTATGAAATAACCTAACCGATAAACTAGATGAGGTATTACGAATGTTAAGAGTCATTTTCAGGTCAATTATACACAACTTCCCTTAATCGCAGGCTCTGAGACAGGAATATGAACGCTATGAGTATCAGTTACGTCATTGAAACAAAAATACTAGAAACAATATAATCGAACAACGCCAATAATATGACCGCACGTAATTGGGAAGGAACTGTAAACAGCATAAATATAACCGCGAAAGAAATGTCTCTGACAAATGTTTTCACAGAGACTAGATGTCATACACACCCACATGTTATCTAAATAAGATAGGCCTGCTATGTTCAAATAATACTGACAACAACAGAAGACACACGAAAAATACCGAACAACACTGTGTGGCATAAATTTCCAGGAGATATATTTAGAGCGAGCGAGTAGAATATATTAGGAAGAACAATCGTAAAAATGCTCTCTTCCTAATGGTCGTTACATACAAAGAATAAACAATGATGTTTTGACAGAAAAATGGATTCAGTTATGGAAACAGTAAATAAAAATACAAAACTCACCTAAATTCCAAATAATCACAAAAAGGTTTGAATGCCTGCGACAAAATTTTCTTTCAGGAACGGACCTACACATCACCAGCATAAAACAAGTGTTTAAGTCTACTGGATATTAAAAAGAATATTCATCTAAAGGCAACGATTTGAATAGTTCATAGCAGACAACACAGAACTGGAACCGTACTGAGGAATAATTTTTGCAGAGAGCATAAAATTCTCACAGCAGTACCACAACACGTTCGTTTCCACATCGATATTATGAAATGTGTCCCGCAAAATATCTGAAAATATAACAAATACAAAGCCTTTAGAAATACATCTATTAAGACTATTCAAATGACGTCTATGATGAGGTAAGCATACGTCTGCATGGCCCGATCTGAAATGTACTACATGTACAGCAGATAGACATATTCTACAGCCGGCTTCAGATATGAATGTAAAGGAAACATCGCGGACGCGAATTTAAATTTGTTGTCAAGTTTCTATACCTCCGGCTAAGCTCTAATATGAATTTACAAACAATTTTAAGCAAGGATTCTATGATAATGTGTACAGTGGCGGCTAGTAAGGAAATGTTTCTTGTATGCTGATGTACGAGACCAAGGATCGCCAGCCGCACGTCTATTTCCGATGGAACATTGGTGCCATCGGGAGGGTTAATGGGTGTCCGTGAGAAGTTTAGAATATTTATAACAATTTCTCAATATTTCGCTAGTGGTCGCAAAGTACGTGATTATTTCAGCTCTATGAACTGAATATCTGCAACATACCAAGGATTCTAAACATTTAGATAGTTGTCAAATACTAAGCAAGGGTCTGAGCGTAATTAATGGTGACGTTTTCTAAGGAAGTTACTTTCGCTCTAATGTATATTTTTACATTTGTTATGAAGCATGCAAGAAATAGTGACTTGGAAACGTCCAAAATATGAACACTACGCAGAAATATATTCATAATCAAATTAATAGTAGTTAATAGCTCTCCTTAATTAATTATTTATTTGCAGAATAAAAGGGTGCCTCAAAAATGTTGTAAGGTTTTCTTAGTGAACGACGTTGGCGACCCATGGAGCAGAATCATAAAATTGAAAAATATTTTTACAAATAGAAGAGTATTTTAAAAATATGGTAATTCTTGAAAATAAATTTCTTCTTATGCCATTGCTTCTTTAGATGAACATGTTAATTAGACACATAAGATTTTTACTTATTCAATAATATCCATATCCTAATAATACTGTATCTTAACAGACCATATTATGGCAGTGTTACTACGTTTAAACCAACTGTGTTATGTTTCCCTTCTAAAGCCGCCACTTTTTTCAACGAAATATTAGTTGTGGTCAAAACTGCAACAACAATCTCAGATTGTAATAAAACGTAACTTAGATAAACTGTGGGAATCTGTGGCATTCTAAGAGCTAAGATGCATGTTCCTTTCTAGGAAATTAACAAATGCAGTATCTATTATCCAAAAGCGCAGGAAACGTTTTAACTATCTGTTTATGATTAATACACTTATATCATTGAATAATGAAGATCTCAAATTTGTGTTGAGTTTATCCTGAAACGCACCCTAAACTTGAGCATTACTTTAATGCATTAAAGCTAATTGGACGAAGCCTACTGATCCTGTACATGTCATTCATAATCCGGGCTACAAGCCAAAAATATTATTAAATACGTCTGAATCACTACAATATACATCAACTGCAGGCCAACTAGCTAACATCTGACTCGCGTTGCCCCAAATTACTTAAATATATAAATATATTGCACGGTATCAGACATACATTCAAATTCATGCTTTACAGATATATCGAATGCAGGACAGAAGCTTTTTCACAATATCACACAAGGAATAATGGGTCAGTCCCGATACATCGTGAGTTAAAGTTGAAAATAATTTGTTACCTTTACGTAAATTTCAGATATAGGCTTCAAGGCGATAGGTAAAGAAAGTTTGCTAAATGTTAGCCAGAACGAAGTGAAGTATCAGTTTAAATATAAATTCAAATGGTACATAAAATTATTCAGTTTCATCACGCATCCATCTTTACGTGTCACATGAATTAATATGACTCTGGAAAATATTATAAAGAGCAATCAAGTGCCATGAATTAGCAGTGGCCGATTTATAGCGATTTTATAAATATATTGTTTTCTAACAGCACACGAACAATTCTCTCATGAGATGAACTACTTAGACTAGGTTTTAAGATTACGTAGACTTTTATCAATTTTATATTAGCCTCAATATCTACAAGAACAAAGAAGAGGTATCTCGTCAATTGTGTCCTTACTCTGTGGTCGTATTCCGTCATTAGTAACAGGCCAACTAAGTGAACGGTACAATTCATTCCAGTTACAATAAAAGGCTATGCTATAGGATGTACATATCCGTGTAGTGTGAATAGAAAATAGATGCTTCCTCCAACACATGTAAAATACAGAATAGTACCGGAATTAAAACTTTTATAAGATACCAGAGTACTGTACAGACGCAGTATGGAATGAAATATACGCCAAAACTTTATTGAATTAATTCATATTTTTAGAGGTTCAAATGTGATGACTCATCTCATGACTTACTGAAGATCTCCTACATTAGCACTTAATGAAGTTGACTGTCTTCTGGGATGTTGCACCGTGTCGCCTTTCAGACAACGACCAACGTTTCGGAGGCGCTTCCTGCGTCCTTCATCAGCTTCAAACATGAAACAGAATGTTTCTGTGAAACGTTCGTATCGACTTATGAGTCAACGCGGCGTTACAATCCAAAAGAAAATCAACTAAAATCTTGTATGTGGTTACTAACATTTGGAATATGTATTATCTACAGGCTTGACCTTAAAATGGAAGAAGTACATTCCTCCAAAACGGCGGAGATCACCAAAAAGAGTAAATGACACCATAACACATGAAAACCTCAGATCTCAAAGATTATGATTGCTTCTTCGCGGTCTTGTATTATTTATAATTCACATAATTTTCCGATGTTGTCATCACAGCGTATAGAATTCCTGTTAAATTTACGAATACTTTTCCAATCACTCTGCCAGCACAAAATTTTCAAATTTACTTCATTTGAAAAGTAATGTACTTGACTTGATAAAAATGTACGTCAATATCTGATTCATTATACGATTCGAAAAGTTATATTGTCTGAGGCAATATTTGGTACAGACAAGATTTTGACAACTCGTTCCACTATCATCTTCAGGGGATTCGTTGTTTCCAAACTTATATTTCTTAAACTTATACTACATTTAATATTTTTTGTTATATACATACGTATTGCACTTTTATTGTAAATAAAAATGTAATATATTCAAATAGTTTATTAAACGTTTAGAAAAACTTGTCAGTGTAATGACAACAAATCACACCAGGACTACAGCCAATTTTCGAAATGTCATGTATATCAAACGTACCTCAGGCAATGGACAATTCCCAGCATAATATTCATATAAAGAATTATACTTGTTCTGTGTACTGATATAGTATAGCGTTGATGCCACGTCAAAACATCCTTTACACAATATAAATTTCAAAAAAAATTATTACCAAATACACAGTGGCCATATTTTACGTAAGTTGAGACAGTCACTTCCAATATAATGTTAACACCGGCAGTAGAGATTTTTGGTATAATTTAACGTATATTTATTAACTTCGAAACTTGGTATCTTATTTTTCTAATGACTGTATTTTTCTTGAGAGATAGTGGGATACAAGAGGCCTAAAATTATGCTTTCTTCAAATATAGCAGCTGATGCTATCCATTATATTTTTGCCATCTTCATCCAACTATTAATGTAAGCCTGTTTGAACATTTTCATTGCTCCAATAGCGGTGGCACACAGTCTTTAACTGAAGTACACTCGGGAAGATTGCACGAACAAGTGATTGTCTTTAGCTTAACTTACGATCATGCGTGGTTTTCTGATTAAACGAGTAGACAAATACTTGCTCATACACGGATGCCACATAACTCAAAAGGTGTAATTGGTTTACAGTAATCAATCTATAGCTAACTCCAAAAGCTAACACTACAACATTTCCACTAAGAAATATATAGCAATAAATTAGCAATTACTAACAAGCACACATGTTTTTTAACTTATACAACAATATTTCTTCACACAACCCTTAAAATCAACATCAATGCATTCATCCCACATTATATAAAGTAAATACGTACATACTCAACACTCTTAAAAGTTAACGACTTCAACAAACATAACTGTCATTAAAAAACATTTAAATATGATCTCGCTAAAGGGATATTTCTCCTATTAAATCGCTTTTGTTTAATTTGACAAAGTCGCAATAAACTGTTTTCCTTACATTCATTAAGCTCCAGTTGGGAAACATTAGTCGTTAATTTTATAAATCCCAGTTGATAGGCTGTTACACTTTTTTATGTTAACATTTCACGTATGATAAATATTTGTACATTTATTAGAAATTTCTTGTATTTCTGAGTAATAACTTAAATATTTGTCATTGTTATTCATGACTCAAAATTGATTCTCCACGAACATACAGGAACGAATTACAAACCTAGAGCATGATTCAGGTCTCCTCATCTCTCTTTCTGCCTCTCGCACAAAGACACAAATATAAATCATAGGCGTGCGCGTGTGGTTTAATTATAAGCACTTTTCCATACGCTTGAAACCAAAGCATTTTGTTTGTAATGTGATGATCATACTGATGATAACTAAAATGAAATATATTCAACAAACAATAGTGTTATATTTGTACAGATGTCACATAACGTTCAGCCTTGGGCATATTACAGACCACCAATGGCGATCAATTGTAAATTTACATTTATATGGGAAAAATAACACTGTTAGAAATAGCATAACAATAATCTGCATATAAATGACTTTAAATATGTTTAACTACATGAACCTGTCTATCTCAAGGGAACAATAAATTTACTGAAGTGTATATTCTTAAGAAAGACGGTACACAAGCCGTTATTAATTCTTACAAATTTTTAATTAAAAGTGTTTTGTTACAAAGCTTTATTTTCTGACATCCAAAGCAATGTTTTCTTTCAACACCAAACACAACAAAATGTGTAGCTACAACCGTAAGTAATAGCAGTATCCATTAAGTACAGTTATAATGGCTTTGAGCGACATTTTGTCAATGCAGGAACAGAATGCTCTTACGAAAGTAAACAAGAATAAATATTAATAAGAGAAAATAGATTTTATCAGCAGGGAAATACATTTAACACTATATTATAACATTTAATAAACAAAATTTTGTTTCAGAACACTTAATTACCTAAACCGCCAACATATAACACATTGATCATATCAGTAGATCAATTTTCACAGCTAAATTCAAACAGACAGCCGAATTTTAGACACATCATAAAATCACATACATTAATTTTTGTTAAGCTTCCCCTGTAGGAAAATTAATATCATAATTACATACGAAGAACATCTGAATATTTTGTAGTTCGGACCAATGATAAGTATACTTAAAATAACTTTTATTTTTGAACTCTAAATAAGAAACCAGTTATGAAGAAGCGAGAGTTAAATTATAATTTCACACACATTAAAACAATTAACTTCTGTGAACATTAATATACACTAGAGTAACACTATTTTTCGTAAACTGATCATAACAATAACTCTGAGTCTGAGTCTTAATGCAGAGATATGAAGGATTTGAGGTTTTCACAGCGGTGAGTATGAAGATTTCTGTCTTCTGGGTTGTTGCACCGTGTAGTATGGTCGATGTTAACCAACGTTTCAGAGGTCATACTGCCTCCGTCATCAGGGCGACATCGCAACAACCCAGAAGACACAAATCTTCTGAGATATGAACTTTATATCATCTAATTTTGTGCTTTAAAAAACTGATAACAAATATTAATTTCTTTAAAAACAATAATAGACCAGATCAGCAATTATTGTATGCGTGTCAAGAGTCATAATGTGGTAAAAACAAACACGCAATTCTTCAAATATCTGGTTTATTTCTAGACATCAGCAGTCAATACGAATCGCAAGTAACTCCCAGTCTGATGCTTTAATTTAAACATGAATTCATGCGGCAAACAAATGGAAGAGTTATTGTTTTCCGACTTATCAGTTAACTCCAGAAAGTGCATACTATATAGTATAATAGGGTTAGCATACAGACACATTCTGTATAAAGCTGAAATTGATTGCAAGAAGTCTCAAGTAGGAGATTTAAATATGAAAATTTACACAGAATATCTGCTAATTTCATTAGCAAAAATACATATACGGTATATAAATATAACTATTATATATTTATATAAGCTCATTAGTATGTTTCCATTGGTCTTGAAGCTTTTAATACACGACATTAAAAGGATATCAGATTGGAATCTTATTATAACTTATTTGTACAAATGCAACTTGACTGAACCATTATAACATATCACGTAAAAGCTTTTGAACTTCTGAAAAAAGTTCAGTAGTAAGATTCTATTTCTAGTATAGTATGGCGGAAATGTGTCTACAGCTTGAGTTTGAAACACAGAATAATATTTAAAGTGAGTGATTAATTTTGTAAATGTTAACCTAAGTGACAATGACAGAATCGTAACATGTAAATACATCTGAGTTATATATTAATATCAAAAACATATTATTATGGAATTAAATTAAATTGTTTAATAAGTAATATTATAGTAAGTTATAACAAAATTAAATCTTCTCAATTATTTATTAAATTGCAGTTCAAATACAAGATATGAAAGAAAAATATATACTATATTTAAAAAACACTTACCGTCTGTCTGTATGATTCATAGTGTTTCAGTGTATGATCAAAGAAAGTAATTTTGAATCACGGGTGTATAATCAACATGAAAAAATTTGCAGAAAATTTAAAACAACATTTATATTTTCAATGCGGAAATTACTTTATGTCTGCATGAACTCCACTAGCATTCTTGTCTTTTAAAAAATACTACATTTTAATATATTTGTATAGCCTCGTATGTTCTCCTGTCTTCTCTCTTTATTGAGCTGTGAACTGAAATAGGTTCAGCAATTCTTCCTTAAAAGTGCATCCCTATGTGTTCAATCTTTAAATTCTAGTTAGTTTTCTTACACACATTACCCTACACCTTGTTCTCGACTGGCTTCAGAAGACGTTTTTTCGTCAATCACTTATTTGCCCAGGAAATTTTTAATTTTTTAGATGACGGGTACGATCGCATTGTGACATTTAAAATATTATGTTAACAGGTTAACCACTAGACGGCAGATGTAAGCCCAAGAGAATTTAACTGCAATTCTTACATCACGGCTTCTCCATTTAATACAAGTACAGCTAAAGTAGTACGTGAGTAAAAAGTTCACATAAACACACGAGTAATAGGAATCATGTGTAATATTATGCGAGACTTGGATTTTAAAAACAACTACCTCCCTTACTTTAAACGAAACAGTTACTAAAAAACGTGCGCTTCTTCGCCGATGTTAACGTCCTAAGAACACGTGAAAATAACGGTAATTACACGCAATTAATTGAAACTGGCTCGTGTAGGTTACAGTGCCAGACTACGTCATTAGCGACTAAACATTGGCTTGCAAACATTTTCTATCGCCATGACAAATAAGTAATTTCTAGAATATTTTCATTGCGTTGTACAGGATTCATAATCAAAACAGAACATCGTTAAACCTTATTAGCATAAAAGTCAGAAACTCTGGTGACTTAAACGTGATTTTTTATGACTTGGTGCCAGATGATGGTATAACAACTTGTACGAAGGTGTTCTACGCTTAATTGACCGTTAAAAATGCACCTGTTTGCTGGTAGGGAGTGCCATGGGAAGACCGTTCAGCTGTAGCGAATCTCTTGCTATCGCTTTTGCCCTTCTATATCCCCTTCCATTCAAGCCGCGATGTAGCTCAAGCTTGGAAATCTCTTGCAGAGAATAATAAGATTAAGGGTATTTGAAAAAGTTCTTGTGAGTATAATCCCCGAATTTACGTAAGGGAACTAAGGGAAATCAGGAACAATCTGTCTTCCAGATTACATTTGAAGCCGGGGTCTCCCGATAACGAAGCGGGAATGCTGATCACTTAGCTGCGAATTTTGGTGCTTAGGCATAAATTAGTGTAAAATTAATAAGGATCTTGAAGCAACAGGATGTGAGGCTGTGAACTGTAATAATTTTACTCAGAATCGGGACCGGTGACGGCTCTTGTGAACACGGTAATGCACATTTTCTTTCCAAAAAAAGGCAACAAAATATCTGACTTGCTGAGCGACTACCAGCTTTTAAATTGAGGCTATGTTTCATGAAGTTATTAACGTAGATACTTTGTATAAGTTTCAACAATTATTTCAAATTCACGTTGATTAATATTACGTAATTTTTATTGCTAATATACTGGATGCAAGAGATTTCCGAGCCTGAGCTACATCACAGAAGAGAAGGGAATATAGAAAGGACAGAGAGATAGCTAGACGCCAAATCCACTACAGCTTAACGGTCCTCTCCTCGTACCTCGGCTGGCTGGCAACATATTTGAATTTGTAACAGTCAAGTTTCTGTACCATCATTTGGTATCCACTTTCAAAAAGAAGTACCGCTAAATCAGATACGAGTACAATTATTTATTGTAGTATATATTATATAATCTTTACTTTTGTGCATTCTGCTGTGAAAGTTGTTCATTCATAAGAAATGACGGGCCACAAACACAAGATGACGAATATAAATCCCGCTGCATTAGGCAGAGCGCTGAGTCCTTTTTCCCTCTTGGGGAAAGTTTCTCCAAACTTTCCCAGTAAAAGAGAACACAAAAGGTATCAATGTTCGTGCTAAATGAACATAATTGTTATGGTGAGCAGAATTAGCAGATTATACTTACATTGGTTTTTACGAAGTACTCACAGAAAGTGTGGCACTAGCACTGCACCTTTGTTTCAACCTGCCTGTCGACGAGAGAGAACAACAGACGGCGAGCTTGTAGTAGCGTGAGCGCTGAGGTGAACCTTTAGTTCAGCTTCTGCGCATGAGCAGTAAATATTTTCCTAGGAGGAAATCCCTATATGCGATGTTTCTATAAGATCTGTAGTTGTATAGTTTTTAAATTTTCGTTTAATACAAATTAAATCTAATAGAGTTTAATACTGTCCTTCAATATTATTAGCAAGACAGAGAAGTCTTTATTATAAAATGCAAAATGCAAACACTTATAATCTTATATTTCATATACACTACTTTAAAAGCTGTGTTAGTTCACATGGAATGAAAAACTAAACGGGTAGTATAGGACTAGGAAGGGACCGACATTTTCTAGCCCCATTTCATTTTTAACTCTGCGACATCTTCTGTCCTACCAGCCACGCCTAGTCTGTTGGTTTCTCTGGAGGACAGTTCGTATTGTTGCTGATATTTTTATACGATAAAATATAAACAATATTATGTGGACATATATGGGTTCGTTCATATATAATTTATAAAGCACTTTCGTTGAATACGAAACCGAAAAATGTACCAAGCACTTCACACATGCACAGCTCATTCGAAGAGAAGCCAAAATTATGTAGCCGCTAAGTTTTCAGCCGTTTTGCAGGAAACAATTATGTGGATATGCGGCCGTCACAGTGGCCGCACGGTCTGGGGCGTGGGTTCGAATCCACCGCAAAGCATGGATATGTTTCCTGTGTCCTTTGTCGGTAGAGATACCTTGCGATGGTCTGATCACTTGTCCAAGGAGTCCTACCAGATGTCCAAACATATTTAAAAACCTCCCAAATGTGAAGGACTCCAGTCAATAAAGATTGTTTGTGGAATGTTTTCTAATCAAATGCATCACCAGTAAAGAATCATTGTCTATAGGTCACGTGTTTCAGAAATGCAATTTTATTAAATCCCCCCAACATTCGTACCACAATGCTAAGATACTGATTATAATTATTACTGTTTACTATTATGCAGCTGTTGTGTTACATAGTAAAATGTTTCTTTTGTATTCCTCCAAATTTAGTGGTCTGGCAGCGCAAACTAGTAAACAGACCAGAGCATTCACAACTGTATTTTACCTTAATATAAATAACGACATCATCAATACCACAAACCTCAGTTAATATGTAGTCAGAGCAGTATAATGTACTTCTGCATATCATTAGTATGCCACAACGTAGAATAATTACCAAATTTCCAGCTGATTTCTTTACGGATGTTAATGAATATATCTGAATTTTATTAATTACATATTTTATTTGTATTCTCTACACACCGTTTGCGTTGTTGTGTCTTGACTTGTAAAGAAAATCTATTAACAAATACTTTAAAACACATTAAAATATTCCTCCCCAGAAGCACGTATATGTGAATAGAAAATTATGTTCAAGTCTATTGAGATAATTAATTACGGATATTTTTCCTGCTTCGTTTTTCTAATTTCTGACAATAAATCTGAGAAAGACGCACGAGTTAAATGTACTACACTTTTATAACATTAATTTTCCTTAAGGAAAATATATTTTACTTCCAATACTATATGCGTCAACAAAATTAATTTCAAATCGAATTTTCACTAAAATCATCATGTTATTCAGCTCTGAAAATATCATGTCTGCTATGGTTTTAAAATCTGATGACTTCGGTTAGAACTAACGTATTTGAACACGAATTGCTTACATAAAATATTTCCTTTTCAACGTTAATTTCCTATCAACTACCAAATCTTTGCTATAAGTGTCCATACAAAGAAATAACAGACAGTGTAAGATGTCATTCGAAAAATCGTGAGGCATTACCCTATCAATGTTGGTCTTCTCAGTAGCAACGCAGCTTGGACTGTTATTTATACCCCATTTTCAGGGCTGATAATGGAGAGAATACGTTTCTCCAAACCGGTGATTTCTTCCTATATGTCCACACAGCGTTACATACCGGAAAACCAACATAGATATCTTTACAACTGTGAGAATCTCAACTCTCATACAGGCGTGTAACCGTTTTAAGAATATGATATAAAATAATATAAAAAATAATACAGATATTCAAAAATAGAGTCAACTGAAAACAGATTAATCGAAAAGCATTACACAGCTGACAAAAAACTGTTTTGCATATTCTCTGCACCAGTTCTTCACACTTTCGTCTTGCGATGTCTTACAGTTCCTATGAGATGAAGAGACGAATCCTGTGGGGACTTGGATTTATTCACAACTGGCCAGCCTAACAACTCAAGATAAAAACGAATTGTCTACGTCTCACATTATGAAATCTTGACAGCAATGGGAGCTAAACAGTTTGGGTTAACGCCAAGATATAATGGAGCATGAATGACGCAGATGCACTCACTGGTCGTGAAATTTTCACCTCAGGAAGATGAAGAGAGACGCGGTCAACAGGAGCACAAACCAGGAGTCAGCACGGCTGCCAGACTGCGGTACCTCGATGTCCACTAGAACATAACACAGAACTCGAATACTGCCAGGCCGAGAAGCGACCGCAAGAGGTAGGCAGTAACAGGAGGCTGGAGAGAACTGCACGATGAGGCGCTTTGTAATTTGTACTATTCACCACATGTAGGACTTTTTACAATGAGAGCACCTTTGGACATTTCTCGCTGCAGGCAGCAGCTCGGAACGTACTTCGTCCTACTCGGTTATACAACATGGTGATACACATTTTAAACATTATTTTATTGTAAACACTTTAAGTTGAACAAATTAATTCACACTGTTTAGGTTCCTCGTTTAAGACAAGCCTTGCCCTCGTGCGTATTTTTCATTCGTAACTCGATTAAAAATCACGCCATATTATTAAGGGCGTAATATCAAGGGCGCGTATGGGATTTAGGACGTGCGAAACATATAATTTTATAATAAAAACATAAAAGAAAGACTTCACTCAGAGGGAAAATAATATTATTAAAGTGAATCTTACATAGCTTCTGTGTGTGCCGACTCGATTCACACGGTAATAAATATTTGGGTTCCACAAATGAGTGGGGATGTCTTTACCAGCTAAGTAACTGTCAGCTTCTACGCCTGTTTATAAAAGTAGTTTCTTCCATTCAGGATCTTTACAAAACATTGTATAGCTTATTATCTTTATCCATGAAATACGTGCTACATGTCCGGCCCATTTACCCGCTTTCAACTTAATAATATGTGGCGGAAAGCATACAAAATACGAATCTCACTTCTTCAATTTTCTCCATTCTCCTGTTATTTGCTCCCTCCTTAAGTCCAAATACTCCTTACAGACACCTTAGCTAATTTCATTCCTCAAGGTGAGAGTTGATATCAGAATCCATAAATCTTGTAGAATCTGGTTGTGAAGTTTGAAAATAATGGGTTGAACACGCTGGGAACAGCTTTTCTTTTTAACTATTTCTGGCGGAAGAGGATTGTCGCGGTCCCTAAAAGGGAATTTCTCGGAGTCTTAATGTTTCTGACTATTGTGCATTGTAATACGCAGATTTCTTTCTGGACTTCGAATATCGTATGTATTTTAACATCATAAAATCAAACGTTTCGAAAGATGGACTGCTTTCGTAATGAAGTAAAAAGGACTGAAAATCTGCCTCTTCGTCTAGATGAAAACAGTTTCTAAGATATTGTGACTTCATACTTTTACAATTTAGACGATTGTGAGAACCAAAGTAACTCGGTGAGTTGCATAATTATCTGGTGCTCAAGCAAGAACGCGGTAATACCTAGCAAGGTAGCAGTTATTTCAATTTGTACAACATTTTAATCTTGTGCGTTGTAAACGATATGTCCTCCATCTTATGCACAGTACCTGTTATTGAAGTGGTCTTCAGATCACCATACTCGCTGTGCTCTAACGCGCGGAATGCCGGGATTGTGGAGAGGCACGTGAGTTCCAAGCGGCCTTTTGGTCCAGCGTCGCGTTCCATGATGACGAGACTGAGTTGCGCTGTCAGGCGCTTACGGTCGCGACTGTGGAAAAATCTCAGATGATCTTCTTTGACCTGCAGAGTAAACAGGTAACTCAGAAATAGGATAGAATTTCTTTTGTCTCAAGCACTCTGCTGAAATCTGCAGTCATCGTAGCGAAAGGCTTAAAAGAGCTTAACGCCATATTTTTTGTTATTTAATAAGTCCCCATATTCGTGCCATACTTATTTCTCAGCTTAATATAAAATCAACTTCGACGAGCTGGTCGGAAAACCTGAAGGGCAGACACTTCTCAGAAGACCTAGGCGTAAATGGAAGAACAAAATTAAAATCAATATGGCTGTCTTCTGAGTTGTTGTGTCGTGTAGTGTGGTAGAATCTTACCGACGTTTCGGAGCTCCCTTTTGCCTCCGTTATCAGAGTGATGAGTAAGCAGCTAAGTCAAAGTCCAGCTCACTTTACAACTGACAGTCTTTGACCAGTTACCAGATTAATATACTAAATGCTACACAAACTATACATACTTGAAACGCAAGAACGAGACAAAACACTAGGAAGTAATCGAGAACTGATAGTCGTCCGAGTTTTTTCTGCACATTAGATGGCTATGCGTCTGCGCAGATGGATACTTCTGTTTGAAGGTCGAGTCAATTCTCCGTTCAGACGGACAGTACCTAGGATAAGCCGTTACGGCCCCACACTCAGCATTACAAATAATAAATAGTTACTTCGATGTTGCCACATTGAAATAACAGTGAGATGGGGACGTTTCCTGAGTATGCCGAAGCGTTAGTGAAGGAGACAGAGGTTCTATCGAGAACACGGATAGTAAACGAAACCACTGTGCTTTAATGCACTCGTTCAGAAACAATGTTGCAGTGTGGCTAACTGTAGCAATGTGCTGAGTGACAACAAAACCACACATGCGTAAGGATCGCCACAAAGGCTGTAGATTTATAACTGCAAGTGTTCAATTCGTGTCCCTCTTGCTATCACACAATCGAATACGGTGCCACCTGCAGCGCACACTTCGCAGTGTCACAGGTGTGATAGTTGTGCAGGAGACAAGGGTAATGAAATGTCAGCAGCTGTCCTCTGCGGCCGCTTACCGTTCACCACGGCGTCCAACGTAAAGGTAATGATCACGAAACATAAAAATACCACCGTAACTTCCTGCTATGGGAAATGCAAAGATTGTAGCGTCGTAACGACTCGTCCAAGGTTAATAATTCCAACGCTTGAGACAAACATATTATTTATAACAAATTTCCCTCCATATATTTTTTTATGTTTTGCCAAATAAAAGAGTTCTCTTATGGCTGTGGAATTATGGGACACTCTGTACATACTTTAAATAAACATTCTAGTCAAGATACCTCTATTTTCATATCGAATTTTGAAATAAAAGCCATTGTTGGGTACAACATTTTTGTAAATGAGTGACCAGGAATATATCTTTCTTTAAATTGATTTACGATACCTTTCTATTGAAATCACAAGGCAAGACACAAAATCGGGCGTCAAATAAACGTTCTGTCTAAAAATTGACAACTGAAAAGTCACCAAATGCGTCTGTAAACACCACACCTATTCACTTTCAAAAGAAAAAAATGTCCACGCACAAGTCAGTACTAGAAAACTAGAATTACTTAGAAATATATTTCACTGATCACGTTTAAAGTAAAATATGACATACTGTGAGCGGATAGATTAACGACATTAAAATGTCAAATAGCTTCAGATCACACACGTGTAGTGGTGACCAAAGGACAACTAATTTTATCATAGTTAATACACCAAGTTATGGTTAAATTTTCGCAGTTCAAAATACTAGTTTCTTATGTTGTTCCGTAATATTTCCCGCAAACTAGTAGAATAACTTTTGTATCTGGTAAATGGTGTATGATAAAAGATTTTTAAGCGAGCGGTGCAGACTTGTTTGAAGGTGTTATCATTGCATTTTCTAAAAGAGACTGAGAAAAACTACGGGAAGCTATAAGATAATAGGCAGCCCGGCAAAATTTCGAAAAACGTCCTCCTGTATCTACGTGAATGTTGTCACAGATTTACTGGGCGTCGTGTCGAAACATGTTTTTAGAGGAATCGTCCTTTCAGAATCATAAAACAACACACAGGAACGTGTAATCTTATTGTTTCCGCGACCCGTGCTACATTCGAATTCCAGCATGAAGTTGACCTGCAGGGATCGACTAAATTTAAACTTAGGTGCAGAAAATATATGATCCCAATGGAGAAGTCCACATTAATCCAACACCATCCTGTATGTGTGAACAACTAGTGCAGATCTTACAGCAATTTACTTTAAGCACTGACGTCGGTCGTACCTGAACTTAATAGCGTACCATATACAATGCTCTGGCTTTAGTTGCCACCACAGCTGATCAAGTTCAGGTCAGACAGGAAGCTTGTTCCCGCCATATCGATTACACAACCTACACAATCGATAGTTACCTGTTCCCTAAATAACTCGACAGTTACAAACAGCAGCAGCTGTTGAATAATGTATTCCGTGCGAGGTAACCGGAGAGCAACATTACCGATTATATCCTGGAGATGAATGTGGGCGTCTAAAAGAGCGAAATACTTAACACAGATGGGCAACTGCGTCATTAATAACTGTGTAAGAATCAAGCAATATACAGATTTTAAAGCCGTCTTAAAAGCGCATAAAGGCTGTCTGATATTTGAACTATGTAACCGGGACGATTTTGCGGTGGTGATGAAGAAGATAGTTAATCTAAATAAAATTTAAAATTTGAGTATCTGAATGAAAATACCGCCCCTATTACAGGCATAAACCCCACAGTGCACTTTGGAGAAATATGGATATTTATTCTGATAATTAAACAAAAACTATCAATAGGTAGGATTGTGTTTTAAACGTTTAAGCCCTGATAATAAAAAAAACATAAAATATAATAAATAATGGAGAAAATATGTTTGATTTTCAAGGAATATGTACGTTCCATTGAACGCATGGGCTAAAATAACGGCATTGAGAATATATTATATTCACAGTGTCGCGGTGCAAAATAATTGTTGCCTGATTGTGGAATTTTGTATGTAACTGATAACATTGATTCTACGACTTAACGGGACAAATAAGTAAACAATTTCATGTTGTATATTTTACGAATTTCTAAGGCTCTTTCTTTCCCACGTGCATCGATGAAATTACTAGGTATAATCAATGTGTATTTCAACGTAATACATAAGCTACTGGAAAAGAAATTGGACTGAATATCAGCAGTAGTATCGTCTGCTCCCTCCAATAATCGGGACATACAAATAGAATAGTATAGAGAAGATCAGGTGGACGGATCGAGTGACCAACGAAGAAGTATTGAGGAGAGTCAACGAGCAAAGAAACATTCTGCAGGCGATTACACGAAGGAAAGCTAACTAGCTGAGACATATTATGAGAAGGAATGGGTTACTGAGTGATATCATCGAAGGCCAGGTTGAAGGAAAGCGAGGACTGGGAAGAAGAATGATACAGCTAACCGACGACCTTAAACAAGGAAATAAGATGAAGTTCCAGGAATTAAAACGAGAAGCTGAGAATAGGGAAAACTGGCGGACTCTTTTTAGGCAGAATAATGGACCTGTCGTCAGACAGAACACTAAATAATAATAAACAAATAACCTCCCCTCTTCAACGTTCGCGTCACCTGACAAGATGAACGTTCTTGTAAAGAAACTCCTTCCCCTCGCCAATGCTTACATCACGTGACACGGGCCAATGGTCTTGCTGAAGAGAAGTGTTCATGTCTAAATTTGGTGAATGTGACAAGCTCTAGCACCCGTGTCAAGTCAACACAGGTTACAACCCGGCCCCATCAGAATTAAATGATTTTCT